CTCCCCCCCCCCTCGGGCAGAAGAAAACTCTCATGCAGCGCCAGATTTTTCGGCAACATTCCCACCCTACCCCCATCCATGCTTTTTCTGAGATAAGTTGCCACGATTTAAAATCAGAAAAATGACCTGTATTTCTCCTTTTGCTTATTATTTTAGAAATTACATTGCTTGGCCCCTCTTTTTCTAACTGATAATCTTTGGTAGACCTTTGCTGTTTCCCACTCTTAACAGTGAAACCGGAAAAGTTCCTAGGGAAATTGTATAGTTTCTTCCATTGGCACTTCAGCACTTCTGACCCACACAGAAAACACTTGGATACTTTAGTTGCCAAATGGTGATGAAGATGGTGGTTTGGAATTGAACACTTTGAACACCTTTAAAATAGCAGAAAGAGGGAAGAATTCACAATATACTTTTCAAAATGACCAAATAGAAACTTAGGAGTGGATAACTTGGAGAAATTATAGTCAGTGATTCACAAAGCTGTCACCTATAGTTAAAGAACTTATTTATTTATTTATTTAATAAAAACATATCAAACCAAAAGTACTACACAATGCCATTAAACTTTATTGACTACATTGATGTAGGTAGACGATACTGCTACTGCGCATTGAGGCTGCATTTTTGAAAGGCAACTTCTTCAGGAAAGTTTTATCTCTCTCACAGAGAACTCAAGTCAGATCTATTTTCTGTTTGTTTACTTACTTAAAATAGCTAATATTTTTCTTTAAAACACCAATAATCTGTTCTCGCTTTCCACCTCCCACAAGGGGACACTCTATTTTAGTAGGCCCTGCTATGCATTTATAAGATTTCAAATATATTTTTTGTACCTGTGGTACTTAACCTAAGAGTTACTCTGTTGCATAGCGCTTTGCATTTTCATTGCATGTTTGGAAATGTTTAGAGATTCAGAGGCATCTTTATAGAACCTATTTAGAAAGTTGCATGTATGGCACCATATTACTTACGACCAAAGGTTCCAAAATTAAGAAAGGCTTAACTTACATGTTGTCTTCTTCAAATTTGTCCAGTGTGATTTAAAATGTAATAAACACCCATCCACAGTACTGGAAGATTAGAATATAATACCTGTTAAGGGGCTATCTTCGTCTTACTCTGTAATATAGGGGAAATTACCTATTTGCTGATTATTATATACTGTTTTGGCTTTATGTTAACAGCTTATCCTAGGTGTACAGATTATTATGTAGATTTATGGATAATAGAAATATTAATGCTGTGAGAGTTTATAAATCTGGCAAAGTTTCAAATGGAGCAGATCAGTGAATTGTTTCTAAATATTGCTGTGGTATGGTTTTACTTAAATATGTGTGCTTGGCTTCTGAGTTGTATATTCCATGTTTAAATATATGTTAGCAAGATTTTTGTTAAATAATTCAAATGTAGCTATATAGCTATGGCAAGGTGTTATTAAGAACCCCATAGTTGTGAACCATAAAAAGTATTATAAACTCACTTTTGTTATTTTCCTCTCCTGCCTATCTGGATCATTTGATTTAAAAAAAAATATTCTAAAGACTCTTCATTTAATTTTATAGAACTTCTATTTCTAATTCTAACTTTGAAAATGAAAACCATACATACCTATCTTTTTCTTTTTGGGTAGTAGTTGTTCCTTTTAATTTTTTAAGTAATTCTGAGATCAATCTAAATGTTCTTAAATTTTCCAGCAAACCTGGAAAGCAATAATTTGTCTTAGTTGTGAATATGCATAATAATGTTCCTTGTTTTTTTAAAAGATAATCTATTATGGAGTACACAGACCTTTCTTGAGCAACTGACCTTTCATATACTGTTTTGAGGAAGCCAATCTGGGTAGCATTACTTATATCAGCAGTGGGGAATCTCTTAATTATATCATTACGAGAAGCTCATTTGGTGGATTTTGAAGATTTTAGGTAGATTTTTAAGCTATGTCTTCCTTTTTCAATCATATTAGCATTGCTAGATTTCATAATACAATAACAGAAATACGTATATATTGTCTAGAAATGTATCTATTTATATTAATAAATGGTAAAAAGTTTGTAAAATAAAGTCAAGATACATTTAAGAAAGCACAAAGGCTTGCATTTTAGGATGGGTAATTTTTGCAGATGTATCATGTGTCACAGAAGATAAGCATTCCAAAATCTCCTGTTTTGGTACCGTTGGCGATTCTAAAGTGTATGCATGTGGGAAAGGCCTTAACATTTTCTGTTTCATGCATAATTATTTTGTCTTTAGTTGCAGTTCCTCTTAGTGATAGGCTTGGATTTGTGAGGAAATTTAGGAATGTACAATTATTTAACTGTCAGCATGATATTTTTCCAGTTTTTTCATTGGATTTATGGAAATTGTTATTTTGTTACATGTAAACATTATGTATTAAACCGTATAAACATTCAGCCATTTTTTCTTCAATATCTGGCAATTCACTTAACCTACTTTATATTGTTTTGAAAAATATTTTCTATAGAAAATTAATACAATTCAATTTTTCCATTATGTTGGTAGGTAGCAAGTAATTATGTTTAGAAGATAACATGAGATCCAACTTGTGAAACTCTTTCATATACTGTGCTCTACTATCCCTGATCCTTTGGTTCTGAAATTTCCTGCATTGATTGGTGAATTTTGGACATTGCTATAGCATTACATAACAATATCCTTTATAAGGGTAACCATCAAAGTATTTTAATAATGGATTAGTTTTCTGAATTTCATGAATTAAGAAATTTAGACGTCAGCCCTATTCATTCTTATGGGAAGTAAGTCTTATTGAATTCACAAGGGCTTCCTTCTGAATAGGCATGTATAGATTTGCATAGTAGACATTCAGTATTGAAGGACACGTACTTCTAGATACAAGAGGAAGACCATGTTTTCTTCTAGTATGCCGATAGTGTTAGCTCTTCTTACAAAGAAAGCCCAGATTCAGCAAGAGAAATCCTAACATTTCAAAGTGGTGCATTTTCAGGAATATATACTTAAATTGCAGATTTTTTCTATACATTGTTTTATAGCTAACTGCATATGTAAAAATAATATGTGTTGCTACTAATTTCAGGTGACCTTTTATAGCATTGAAGGGTGCTTTATTTATTTAAAAGTTTACAATACCATTTTTTTTTTGCAGTACTGTAGACATTGGGGAACCATTTAAAACCCTTTTTCTCTTTTATAAAAGGAAAAAATTCACATAAAAGGCATAAAAAAGGTAGAAAATGCTTGCATTAGCAATGATTTTCCCCATAATACGTCTCTAAAAAGTGTAGATGCATAATGCGCTTTAAGACACACTAGCCTTTCATGTTATTTTTCTCATTTTTTCTTAAAATATTTGTGGCTTAGGATGTATTAAGCCATAATATTTAATATCCCCTATACTATTATTGTTTCCTAAATAAAGATCAAAAAGTTTCACTGAAAGATTTCTATATTTTATTCTGTGTAGGAATTATTTATCTTTGTGAAATTCTGTTTATATATTCCATTTTAATTAGCATTCTATTGTGTTACATACATAATTATACTCAAAATTCAATGTTAAATTAAAGTATTTTTATGATATATCAGGTTTTCATTGGCTGGTGTTGTTCGGACTTTCAGAAGTTAAAATTTTGCCAGTTTGGCAAGCATATAGTATGTTGGTCACATCATTCACAGCAGGATCAAGGAAAAAGCAAAGGAATACACTCCTTCCTTTTTTAAAAAAAAAATGGATGAAGATTACAGTGGTCTTGTTGCAGACTTGAAATAATTGATTTTGGAGTTACCCTATTGACTTACACTGAACTATCATAAAGTCAGCTGTTTAAGGCTTAGAGTTTCACCTTTCTGACCCAAAATAACATTTGCTGCAAAGTCAGTGCCATGGTTTTTATTGAACTTGCTTGTTTTAGCAAATGCGATTCACACTGTTATGGCAAAATATTTTCAGCACTTGGTGTCTGGGGCTGAGTGACAGCAGAAAATTGAACGCGAAGATATATTTTAGAGATTTTTTTCCTTTGTTGCCAGGATGTAGAAATGATTATGTCTGTACCTAGCATAGGTACTGCTGTCATTGGCCTATTTGAAAGTTACAGTGACCTATTAAGAAAACAACATGCCCTTCACACCCCAATTTTCCTTGTTGTAATTTTTTTCACTTTGATTATTTTCAGGATGAATTTCATCCCTTCATTGAAGCACTTCTTCCCCATGTCCGAGCATTCGCGTATACATGGTTCAACTTACAAGCTCGAAAGCGAAAATACTTTAAAAAACATGAAAAGCGCATGTCAAAAGAGGAAGAAAGAGCTGTGAAGGATGAATTGCTAAGCGAAAAACCTGAGGTTAAACAGAAGTGGGCATCCAGACTTTTGGCAAAGCTTCGGAAAGACATCAGGCCTGAATATCGGGAAGATTTTGTTCTAACTGTGACAGGAAAAAAACCTCCTTGTTGTGTTCTTTCCAATCCAGACCAGAAGGGCAAAATGAGAAGAATTGACTGTTTACGGCAGGCAGATAAGGTCTGGAGGTTGGACCTTGTTATGGTGATTTTATTTAAAGGTATTCCGCTTGAAAGTACTGATGGCGAACGCCTTGTAAAGTCCCCACAGTGCTCAAATCCAGGGCTGTGTGTACAGCCCCATCACATAGGGGTTTCTGTTAAGGAACTCGATTTATATTTGGCATACTTTGTGCACGCAGCAGGTAAGTGCCTGTATTTCAAGTTGTCCACTGTTGAATAAGTTCGTTTTGTAAGAACATAACCGCATGGTTATTCCAGTGTGTGCTGTGATTGCACTTGATCATGTAAGTTATTTAAACTCTGCTGCTTTGCACTGTGTCTGAGATGGTGGTCCTGATGTCCTCAGAAGCAGAGAAGATATAGATTGTGGTGTAAGACTGCATCATTGTTCCAGAAAGTGATTGTGAAAGAGAGGTGCCTTTCACTATTTGCCTAATGTGCAACATACCTAAAGCATTTTCATTAGAATGCCTTTAGGAAATGCTTGGCACTAGAATGGTGTGTGTTTCTTAGAATTATTTTTTAGTTTTGTGTAAATTTGGCCATGTAGAGAAGAAACGAAAACACTATTTATGCTATAAGTCATGTCTTTAAATAGTTGGAATATGTAAACCTTAAACATAGTAAAAAGAAGTGGGCAGAGATTGAGGCCTCACCAACATGTATATATAGCTAGAGATTAAAGAAATTTCGGCTTAATGAAGGAAGAAATATTAAAAGTCATTCTTAGTAATTGCTCCATATAAATAGAATATTATTGATTTTAAAGAATGGTTTATTAATTTAACAGTGCTGCATGTTGGAAAATGGATATATGCATTGTTTTTGACTCTTAATGCAAAATAATACATTTTTCTATAGCCTGCTTTGAGGAAGTTTGTAGCTTCTGAGTTTTGGAGGCTAACATCAGCACCAGAGTGATATTTCTAAGCAACTCATCATACTTTTGTCTTATCAAGAGTTCAGATTGGCATAGATATGGAGAAGAAAAAACTTAAATGATTTCTCAGTTTGTTAAACGCATGCATCTGGGTTTGTATGCAACATTTTTAGATATGAGGTATATTGGTAGCTTTTAGATGGTTTTATACAAAAGTTGAGTTGCTTCTGTTCTGTTTTGGCTTTATATGTAGTAGCGTTATTGTGATAATTGGGATATGCAGTTACAAGAAGCTTCTGGTTTTGTGCTATGGAATCAGACAGAGTGGTGTGCTCTGAATATGAACTGTTGTGTAATTTTGATGAATGATGCATCTGAAAATATTGATAAAGAGATGACTTTTTAAGCAATACTGTGAGCAGGTGACTTTTATTTGGGATCTGTGTTTTGTGTGTGCATGTAATAGTGGCTATGTTTTATTAAGTGCAAATGTTTATAATAGATTGTGGCCTCTGTGAGAGTTCATAGCTGTATATACTGTGCTGAGTGGAAAAATTAATGAATAAAGAACATATTTAAAAATACAGAAGTTTAATATATTTGGTGATAATGGCATATTGCAAGCTATTTTTGTACACTTGTTGATATATGATGTGAATTTAAATTGATTTTTTAAAGGATACATGATATGTCATTGAAAGTATTTGTTAAATTCTATGTCTTACTAACTTCAGTAATTTAAAGTGGTTAATCAGTAACATTGCAAAAAAGCCAAACAGTTATATAGCCTTTTCTAAAATTATAACTGTACCGTAATATTGTTGGCAAAAATAAAATCCGCAAAATGGAAAAAGAAAATAATCAATGCAAGTAGGCCTAATAAAATCCATTGCTTCCATTATGGATATTAAGGGAACATTGTAATATTTTAATTACTGCTCTTCTTCTTTGCTATCACTGAAGACTAGTAAATCTCATTATGAACACCTTTTTCAATTGTTTTGAAAGTAAAGGTATTGTCCAATTCAACCATATAATTTATTCAGGATTAAGTTCAATTGAGTTCAGCAGGGTTTCTATATAAGATACAGGTTGTAGCCATACATATAGTTTTGTTTATAAATAAAAATCATTTTGTAGTCCTTTTAGAATGTATACTTCAACTCTTGGGCTTATTAAATGTCTGTAATGTATCACATCTTTTTTATGCCATGTTTTGGAAAATAGGATGGCTGGTGTGGGTCTTCCGGGCTGTGTGGCCGTGTTCTGGAAGTTTTGTTTCCTAACGTTTCGCCAGCACCTGTGACCGGCACCTTCAGTATGCAGGAGCAGTTCTCTCTGTGCCCAGGGTGATGTGACCCTTCTGTGGGTATTTATAGAGATCTGGGGGGGGGGTGCTCCTGCACTCTGAAGATGCCGGTCACAGGTGCTGGCGAAATGTTAGGAAACCAGACTTCAAGAACATGGCCACACAGCCCGGAAGACCCACACCAGCCATCGTATGCCGGCTGTGAAAGCCTTCGACAATACATTTTGGAAAATACTTCAGTAATCACCTATAAAGAATGAAAAAGATAGCTATTTGTATCCGCAGAATATTGTTGGCAACATTCATCATTTGTGAATGAGGGAGATTGGTTGGATTTGCTTTCTGCTTTATTTTGATATCCCAGAATCCTTTGTTACACTAGAACACTAGTCAGGTTAATACTGACTATCCTTACATAGCTGTAGTAATGTAGTAAATCTTACAGTTTACATCAGGAGAGAACTCTAAAGTAAGTCCTAGGAGTCCATTGTTGTCAAAAGTTTCTAAGTGACTGTAAGAGATTTACCAACCTATTAATTATGGTAAGGAACTTGCCAATATAAATTAATAAATAATACAAAAATTGAACAATTTACATGCAGTGGGAATTGAAGAGCAACTACAGAAATCCTCAACATTTTTATATGCTTAGAACTTTGGAAAAGTGGCCAGAAATGGAAAGAAGTTCACACTTTACAATATTTTTTTCATCTATGTATTAAAACTATTGTGGGGAGTTCATTTAGCATATCGTTACTATTACTTGATACTTTTCTGAGGTAATTTAATTCCCTTTTCTGAGGTAATTTAATTTACTTTTTAGAGTAAGGTGCCCCTTTCTTCTTTAAAAGTGTATTTACTAGTGTTGCTGTAAAATCTATCTTTTTCCATGTTTTACCTTTTAAGTTTTGCTTTAAATTACCTAGCCAAGTTGTCTTATTCCAAGTAGGCTAAGCCACATAAAATATTGGTCCTACATAGAAGCAAGGAAATAAAATGTCATAACTATATTGTTAAAAATATCTCTACTATATTGAAAGAAAATGAGTGATAATCTGTGTTTTAGAAATAAGACATTTGCTGGCAGTCCTAAAATGTTATACTGGTTTCAGAGTACAGAAGGAAAAGAAAGGAAAGCTGAATGCTGTGAACCTTAACTTTGGAATGTTTTTTTTCCATTTCAGTTCTGCTTCTCTTGTATCAAGTGACAAGTTGGAAATGATTGTGGCAAACCGTATTCTTTGTGGGAGTATAAGTCTCAAGTAAATTTATGGCCAGTCCTTTACCAGATGATCTGTATCAGAATCTCCAATATACTAGGCACGTGGCAAGGTCACCATTTAAGTTGTTAGGGTCATAACCTCTGCCACCAGGCATTTGACCTTTGTGATAAAGTTAACCTTTGTTCATTAGGAGGCACTCAAGCAAGAACTTCCTTGTTTTTTACTGCGGCAGCTAACATGATCACATTGTTAAAAGTGATTCTTAGCTCAAGTATTGGGTTCAGTGAAAAGTTAAAGATTTTCTGTGTGGGTTTCTTTTTTTCTTTTTTCTCTTAGCCTTTTTCCTGTAGGCAAAGCTGTCTTCTGTTGGCCATACAATAGTTCATGTTTTTGACTGTTATTTGTTTTGGTTATGACTTTAACAGCACAAGCCTGTTCATTTTTACTCTGAAGTAAGTCCCACTACCTTAAGCGCTGCTTATTCCATAGTGAATTCATCAAAGAATGCAATCTATATTTTAAAAAAAAATCAGTAAAAAAAACTTCAGGAGGAAGTTTTTAAAATGATAAATGATATTTTGAAAAATCTAGTCCTTTTATATTTGAATTAGGTTGTTTTATGTAGATTTTAATGCTATTGAGTACTGACTCAAAATTAGTAACTAGGCCAATTTAATTTTGATAAATGGTGAAAAGGTATTTTGTTCTGGAAATAAATTACTGCTTAGCAGAGATGGGATCATGTCTTTAATCTGAAATAAGCTGATACATATTCAGTAATAAAGCATAGTTGGGTACCGTTACAGGACTTGGGCTGTGTAATTTTATATTGTATTCTTCTGATATAAATTATATTCATTGTACTCATCCTGATAATAGATCATGTATTTAGCAGTAGCATTAGTGCAGTTATACTTGTATAGGACATTGCAAATAAAATAGTCACAGGACTTTGTAGTCCATGATACCTTTCAAGAAAAATTTATTATTTTATCATACATTTCTAATCTTATCACATTTCTATATCAATGTAGGACTGGCAATTTTTCTTAATTATTTATCTTGTTAAATAATAGTTCCTTTTTCTTGTTCAATATCTTATTATTTACTATAAATAAAATTAAAACAAATACTCTTTGTTATATAAGGTTGCATTTTCCTTGGTTTATAGTTATTTTTATTTTTTCATATGATAGTACCGTTATCCATGATTTGATGATTAACCAGATGGCCAAGGAAACAGATTGAGAACCTGCTCTGTACTGATAAAAAGCAGGTGTAAAATCACAGAGGTTTCTAGTTTCTCCCCAAATGAATTAGAAATTCCTTTTAGAATTGTATGTGTTGGATAGAACAAGACTCAAAGATAATTACATTTCATTCTAAATTTAAGCTATAACATTAAAAATGGTCTATTCACAATATCTGAACCAGATGCTACACTGACCTTAGACTCAAGTACTTTTGATGTTCTGTATCAGAACTTTATTCGGGTATCCAACATTGCTTAGATTCAGTGTGTGCTAAATGAATGAATCACAAGATAGCATGATTTTAAATATGACATGATATTCAAAAATATTTTGAATATGCTCCAGGTAAGCAAATCTCGATGATGCTCTAATGAGCATGTGAGCAGAGGGGCCTGTGTCCTCTGGATAGTTGGAAAGAATTCCAGTGGTAAATTAAGATTGTATGCGTAGAATACTTCGGTTGCTGCAGAAAACATGGCAACCCTTGCGGATATGGATATGTGTACACATGATATAT